TTGTTTAAAGAGTGTTATTGAGCTTGTCTCTTAAAATTCAGATGAAAAGATCATATGGTTGCTGAGTAATAGTGTGAGAAGTGTTTCTGACAGGTGTGAGGCTGGCACCATCTATTTCCACTTATATCTCAACAACCGGCAAGACAATTCACATGAAGATTGGAGAGGTTGTTAGGTAGAGGAATAGCTTTCAAATGAATGTGGTTTTGTCCATTTTGAACAAGAATTTTGACTGAGTTGTGAAAAGAGTATATGTGAAGATCTAGCAAAAAACTCAGTTTCAAAAAACTGAAATCATATAAAATCACAAGACAAATTGGAAAAGTTAACTACAAACTTCAATTACTTAAAAAGATGAAAATACATTCAGTATTTCATGTCTTATTATTAGAGAAAGCACCATTATACACTAAAGAAATACTTACAGAAATTAACAAAGAATAGAAATACAAAGTCAAACAAATACTGAATTATCAGAAGATCAGCAGAAAACTTCACTATCTAGTGAAATAAAAAGAGTATAATACCTCAGAAAACATCTGGGAAATCAATAAAAAATCTCAGAAACATTCAGACAATTGTTATAATATATCATTAATAATACTTTCATTCAGCAAAGCATTAACAAACAAATCAGAGATAATCAGAAGAGAATCTAAGAAAGAAAGATTACTTAATAAAGCAAGCAGACTCTGAATCTCTGTCTCCTCAGTCACTCTTTTCTGCTTCTTCTTCTCAAGATGTTTCAAATTCTTTATGAATTTTAACTTAAATTCAAGAAATTTACCAGTCCAGTCACAAAGCAGTTTTTTCTGTTTTTGAAGATAAAGAAGACAAGAGAGAGTTTCTTGCTTAGTATACTTAAGCTTATTCTGAGCCTCAAATAATTTCTGCTAATCAGCAGCAGAAGAACTATTATCATAAACATAACAGCAACTAGCATAGACACACTCACTATATCAAAAAGAATAACTTGATTTTAAACAAGTCTTATCTAATAAAAAGCACTGAGAGCAGAAAGAAAGCATCATAAATCTGAATCACTTAATAGCAGAAAGAAGATTATTTTTATAAATATTAGAAGCAGATAACATGATGAAAGAAAATCATAAAGATACTTATTAAGAAGAAAGACAAGAGAAAAGTCAGAAACTCAAGAAAGAGAGAACACTTTTTTATACTTTAAAGCCAACAGACAGAGCAGTTAGGGATAATATACTGTAAAAAAAGAGAATGATATTATGAATTCTGCAGCACAATAAGAGAACATATAGAATGATTGAATAAAATCTGACAAGATAAAATTACAGATCATTACAGAAGAACTTTAAGATGAGAATTACATAATCAGCAATAGAACTGATAAGCTGACTAATCACATCAAGTACAATAGAATTGATTAGAGAATATAGCAAACATATTATAGTAGAACAGATAGAACAGCTTAGCAGAACTATCACCAGAGAAGCATTATATATATAAGAACAATCATTATCAGAGATCTAATAAACTTGTTTATCATGATCAATCTTCTTACTTATCTACTAGATATCTTTGAATCAGATACTTTCATATCTTGATTACTTTCCACATTACTGAAGTTCTGTAATACTGTATGACTGTATCTGATTCTGCTACTCTTGAGAAGATCTTATAGTCTTGCTCTGACTCTATTACACCTGCACAGAAACTCTTTGTTATCAGAGCAAGACTGCCAGCTCAACCAAAGCATTATTGAACTATTGATTACTATCTTAATCTGTTGTTACTTACTGTGATACTCTTCAACCCCAAAGATTTCAGAGTGTCATGCAAATACATAACATCAGGACAAGCTTGAGCATACTGAGCAAGAAACTCTCTCTCATCTTCTTCATCTTCAAAAACAGAAAAAGCTGCTTCACAACTGGGCTGGTAAATTTCTTGCATCCAAGTCAAAGTCCATGAAGGATTTAGAATGTCTTGAGAAGAAGAAGCAGAAAAGAGTAGCTAAGCAGACAGAGATTCAGAGTCTGCTTGCTTTATTAAGCAATCTTTCATTCTCAGATTCTCTTTCAGTTGTCTCTGATTTATTTGTTAATGCTTTGCTAGATAAGAGTATCATTAATAATATATTACAACAATTATCTGAATGTTCCTGAGATTTTCTGTTAATTTCCAGATGTTTTTCAAGATATTGTACTTTTTTTATTTTACTAGATAGTGAAGTTCTCTACTGATCTTCTGATGATTTAATATTTGTTTATCTTTGTATTTCTGTTCTTTATTGATCTTTATAGGCATTTCTTTAGCATGTAACAGTGCTTTCTTCAATAATAAGACATGAAATACTGGATGTATTCTCATCTTTTTAGATAGTTGAAGTTTGTAGTTAACTTTTCTAATCTGTCTTGTAACTTTATATGATTTCAGTTTTTTGAAATCAAGTTTTTCACTAGATCTTTTGGTTTTGATATTCCATTATATTAGAAATACTTTTTCCTCTTCTTCCAAGATTGGTAATTTGCCAGGTGGCTCACTGGTAAAATGAGCTGCAGATGCACTCTAGGGTGTGGGGTTTGAATCCTTCAACTGGCACACTTTTTTACCCACCAGAGTTGTGGTGTAAAAAGCAACACATGTATGCTCATGGCTCTACTAAGCTACTTACTACCTCTTACCTAATGATAACTGATGATCAGTTAGAGATAGTAGGTCCACCTAGCATCTGGTGAAGCTAAAATGCATGTGAGTGGGTAGGCTCCACTGCACTACTAAAAGCTACTCCACTTAGAAATCCAATAATAACTAATAATTGGATAACTAAGTAGAGCACCAATTCAGGAGAATGGGTTTAAAAACCACCTGACAAGAGCATCTCTGGTTATCTCTGATAGAGGTAATTAGTTAGTTATTATATGGCAAGACTGTGACAGCTAATTGGTAGGCTGGGATGCTGAGATTAGCAACTGGAAGGCAGGGTCTAGTAGGTAGTAAGCTAGCTTAGCTTCTAGAGAACTAGCTACTAGATCAGTAGGCTGAGCAGTAGTGGCTTAACTAGAATCAGAATAGTTAATGCTGGCTTGAGACCACAGTTTGCGGCAGTCAGTTATTATAGGCGCATGTATAATAGCTTAAGGTGTATCCCCCTGTGTTTGCATTCTCTACAGACCTGGTTGACCCCTGGATGGGCCTAGAACTCTAGGGCTAGGGTGGCTGAGCACCAGGGGTCTGAAATGTACTGGAATAGCTACTAGACAGTGGCTTTTCCAAATATGCTAATTTTATTTCTTTTTGATTTGTATCATATTGCTACAAGAATTATTATTTTCCTTTAAAATTACTATTATGTCCTATCTGCTATTTGACTTTTGTAGAGAAAGAACATCTCATATTGTCTTGAAATACTTTGAATTTTTTTCTTTATTCAGTTTTTACAATGTATACTAAGTAAATCTTAACAGAGAAGCTGTTAGGTAGTCTTCATAGTTACTGACTGCATAAGACTATAATGAATAATAATAATAATAATAATAATAATAAGATTGGTGTTTTCTGGCATCTTTTGTTATAGTAGTGCTTTATTCTCTCATTCAGAAATTCAATACCTAGTCTCATCTGGTTCTGCAGTTTCTATAGTTATATTGTCACAAGTTCTGCTTCTTGAGCTTTTTGTCATGTGATTCTTGGTTGTTTCTGTATTTCCAGTTCTCTGCTATAATTTATATAGAATAGTATCATTTCTGTAGTGGTGTTCTTTGCTCTGTTATAAGCTAATTGTACCATAAGCAGTAGCATAACTTAATTATTCTGTTAATAGTTAACATATTCTTGCAGATATTACTTCAAGATTTGATTTAATCATTCTGTCTGTTTATCTGTTTGTGAATGGTAGATTATTGACATTTTTTGTTCAATTTCCAGTTGTGCCATTAATGTTGTTAAGAATTTGCTTATAAATCTGATGTCTTAATCTGTAATTATCTTCTCTGGCATTCTGTAGTTGACAAGTACATTTTATAGTACTACTATTGCTGTATCTGATGCTCTTATTATCTCTCTGAATAGTATAAAGTATCTGTATTTTGTTAATCTATTAATAATTACTAGTATTAAGTTGTATTTCTTCTCTTTTATGTTCCTTAAGTTCAGAAGTTTTGTAATGAAGTTCATCACTATAAATCTTCATAATTCTTACAGTTATGATATTAGTTGCAGTTTCTCATATAGTCAGTATTTGCTAGCTTTACTTTGTGCACACATCTTACATTTTTTAATATGTTGTTGAATATCTGTTCACATTTCTGATCAATAGTAAGTTCTTGTAATCTTCTTCATTGTTTTGTCAGTTTCAAAATGTTCTGCAGTGACTGTATCATGTTCTTGTATCATTACTTGTTTTCTGACCTCTTTAAGTATGTATATCAGTTCATGATATAGTATTATTTTATCTTCTTTCTTGAAGTTTTCATTTTCTTTGTTAATCTTTCTTATACATTTATCTTTCTTTATTACTTTTTTAATCTTTTCTTCAATATCTGACTCTAGGCTGGTATTCAGGACCGGGACAGGATCCCATTTCCCATTGAACCTGGTCCCCATCCCAAATTTAGAAACAGCCAGAATCCCAAATATGAAATCTCAGTCCCATGTCCCATCCCACTCAAGAGCTTGAGGTCCCATTCTCATCCCTATCCCAGAAATTATTTCCTGGTCCCATCCTCAAATAGAAAATTATGTCCCACATCCCATTCCAGCAGAGATGGTAGACTCCCATTTCCCATCCTGGCCAGGTCCATAGTGGGACTGGGATGGGACCAGGATTCCCGGTCTCATCATGTCAAATTCATAGGGAAGAGTCAAACTGATCAAATTTTGTGTGGACTGTTACCAAATTTTGTTACTTTTTTGATGAAGGCAGAACCCATAGAAAAATCAATTTGATTATCAAAAGAAACCAAGTATTAAAACTAACTAATAGCTGAAGCCAGCAAACAAACAGAAACTGCCTAAATGGCAAGTTAATCATTATCATCATCATCTTCATCATCATCATTGTCCTCCTTCTTCTCCTTCTCCTTCTCCTCCTCCTTCTCCTCCTCCTGCTCCTCCAGAACTGGCTTTGTGAACCAGACAGGGGCTCTAATACCTGCCATTTGACGGGCGGAGACCCTGACAGCACCAGAGGGAGGCAGGGAGGCAGTGATGGGCAGTGGCAGTGGTGGTGGAGTGGTGGCAGCAGTAGTTGGCGGGGCAGGGGCAGCACACAGACAGCAGGTGATGGTGGCAGGGGTGGAGCAATCAGGCACATCAATCAGGCTGAAATAATTTGACCCAATTTTGGCATCAATGCCAAGAACAAGCTTCATATCATCAGTGTTGACCATAACACACTTACAGTGTGCCATTGCCATAACAGAGCCTATATTACTCAGTATAATTATTGGTGCCATTACTAAGAGTGACTTACACTCAAACAGAGCACACAAGATTGCTTCAGCTGCCTTCTGAAGTGACTTAATGGCAGTACATTGCCAGTGATATTCATGTTCTTGGTGACAGGACAAAGTAATTTCCTGAACCAATCACTGAAACAGGGCCACCAGCAAGATTAGCTTGGTAGAGCTCTGGAAGTGGCAGATTTCCTTGATGGCACCTATTTTCACTAATTAGCATCAAGACCATTACCAAAAATCATTACTTTTTGACATACAAGTGCCGGCCTTCCAATTTTAAATGGGGGGGCAGGGGCGGGGATTCTCCTGGTCAAAGTTGGCCAGGTCAACATCTTTATTGGCTTTATGCCAATTGCCCTTCTTCAGGGCCCATTCTTTCAATGCAGCCTTGTGCCACTCCTCTCCAGCTGTGCAAAATGGATGTGCACAGGGAAAACTAACATCTTGTCAGTAAACAATATGCACCAGAGCAGTATTCTGCAAGCACTCACCTCTTAATGCAACCCATTTTGTTGCAGTATATGTTCATTGTACACACAGATGTTGAAGCACAGTAAATAAAAAGGTGATGGAGGGGAGGGGAGGGGGAATCATCAACATTAGCCCTGAAGAGAAAGAAGAAGAAGAGAAAGAGGAAGAGAAGAGAAGAGAGACTGACCTGATGTTATTATCCTGTAGCCAGCATAGCAACAACATGTTGATCTTGCCCATAGCAACATGCCTGTAGAATGTAAACAATGTGTATAGTAACTATCCTACAGTACTTGGTCAATACACTCTATAATTCCATTATCCTGTAGCCAGCATAGCAACAACACATTGAGCTTGCCCATAGCAATGTGCCTGTAGAATGTAAACAATGTGTATAGTAACCATTCTATGCAAGTACTTGGTCAATATACTCTATAATCTCATTATCCTGTAGCCAGCAATTCAACTCATTGCATACAATCATGAAGATGGGGCCAAAACAATATTCAATGAGAGAGAAGACTCATATGGCACAGGAGCACTGTCAGGCCTTGGAAGGCCATCAAAAAGACATATTCAAGACAGAAGAGACAGATTGCAAGGCATGCCATGATGTGCTGAAGAGAATCTGAGCAAAACATGAGTGGTATGCACTCTCAGTAGTTTGTGTTGAATCATATTGACATCCATTGCAGGCAGAATAGCAGTGAGGAGGATTGCAAAATGATTGAAGATAAAGCTATTGAAGAGTTGATGGCCAAGTGATTTGCCAAGGGCAAGTCAAAGAAGTACCATGAGCACCAGCTCATGGTCTCTCAGCAAAAGGAGAGGGAGGAAGAGAAGAAGCATCATCAAGAAGAGGCCACAGAGGCTGAGAATGAAGCTCAGCAGAAAAAGAAGGTAGAATCCAAAAGTAATGAAATTTGGTAACAGTCCTGACATATTTAGGCTAAAACAAGCCAGACACAGCATTCTATTGCTGCACATAGAGAGGCCTGATTCTGCCAAATGATAGCCAGACTTGAGGCCAAGGTCATGGCCCATGGTCATGATTGTCTTGCTGTAGTTGGTGTGTCAAGAGAGGGGGTTGAGGAGGAGATGAGAGGATTCCTGGGCCAATTACAGGATTCAAGTGAAGACAACAACAGCCCACCTGCCCCAGAGAAGGTGGAGGAAGATGATTTTGAGGTTGTGGTGTTCTCTGATGAGGATGATGAGAAGAACAATGAGGTGGAGGATGATTGGATTATTGATGCCTAGGGGAGGAAGTTAGGTTTTTAGTTCTTTTTTCATATTAATTTGAGAATGGGGTGCCATTAAATTGGCAAAATGTTTTATTTTCCTGAAGAAGAATGTTCCATTTTGTAGAAGAAGAAGATTTTGTAGTTGGTTGCTGTACTTACAGAGTAAAATGAGGCTAACTATCTAGAGATTGTTAAATTTTGTGTGGGCTCTGACCACATTTTGTTACTTTTTTGACTAAGGCAGAACTTAGAGAAAAATCAATTTGATTGTGAAAAAAAAAAAAAAAAAAGAAAAATCTAATGGCTGAAGCCAGCAAACAAGCAAAATCTACAGAGATTTCTTCAGAATTGACCATAGTTTAACATGGAAAAAAACAATTTGTATTGTGGAAGGAGCTGCATCATAAGTTGTTTATTACTTGATGGTTGACTACTGAAGCTGCTCAGTTGGTTAATGATAAGAAGCATGGTGACCCCAACTGAAAGGCAAAGCAACATCATTCTGATTTTTGGTCAAAATTTGATCAGGTGGCAGAGCATTCTAAGAGCACTCCAGAGATGATTTGCAAGTATTGCCAAACCTTTCTCAGCCATTCAAGCTTTTTTCAAAATGATACAAGTGGTCTGAAGAAGCATTTAACAAGCAAAGATTGTACAAAAACTGGTGATGGACAGGGTAACACTCTGGTTAACATGATGGTAGGTCATGGATCCTAATTTCCCAAATGTAACAAATTTTAGTAACAGTTCTGGTGTCTTAGCAACAGTTTCTGAAGTGTTCTCAAACAGATTCAGATCTGCCTGTTCCTGAATGCAATCAAGACAATTTTCTCCAGCAGCTTGTGCAAACATTAATATTCTTGAATCTCTTATTTCATGCTATTGAGAATCCAGCATTCTGCACATTAATAACCATGCTCAACCCTGCAATGGCTTTACAGATACCCACACAAGAAACATTATATCAGGTCATGAATGATATGTACAATCAGCTATTCCAAAATCTTCTCTTTGACCATGACCCAACAACCAAGGTATCTCTGGCAGTAGATAATTGGACAAGTCCCAATAACCTTGCCTTTATGGCAATTAATGGTTATTACATTACAAAGGATTGGGAGTACTGTGAGCATTTACTGGATTTTGAAAGTTTAGAGAGTGCTTATACTGGCAAGAATATGGCAGAGATTCTCCAACAATTACTAACAGCATGGAGGCTTGAGAGTAATCTCCTTGCAATTACAAGTGACAATGCATCAAACAATGATACCATGTAAGCACATCTTACATATTAGTTGAGGCTAGCATTGCAGCAGTTGAACAAGACAACTGATTGGGATACAGAGAGTGGAACAATATTCTGTCTTGCTCATGTGATTCAACTTGTGGTTCAAGAGCTGGTTTGCAATCTCAAGATTCAGCCAGACAATAATGCTCTATCCACTACCTTTGATGAGAGCTCAATTACTGATGATCTAGCATCAACAGACACATTTGCAAATACTCTTAGAAAGGTAATGAAATTTGGTAACAGTCTTGATATACTTGAGTTGATTTACTAATCTTTGCTTGACAATAGATTTATCTTGTTGCTAATGCAATCAATGCCTCCCCCCAACTTGCTGCATGTTTCCAAGAATATCAACAAGAGAACCAGCACAAGATGATCCAAGATGTTCACACAAGATGGAATTCCATCTATAAGATATGTGTTCATGCCTTGTTGCTTCAACAAGCTGTGGACTCATGGATTCAGGACTCATCACCAAAATACCAAAGACTTTACTTATTGGACCATGACTGGAAGCAGCTAGAGTATATGGTTGGACTGTTGCAGTCATTCAGTCAATTTACCAAGATACTGTTCAAAACAACAGGCCCAACAATTCATCTGGTATGAGCAACATACAATCATCTTTTCCAGCATTTAGAAAGAGAGGAGGACAAGGCCCAACAGTTAACAATAAGAGAGAACATTCAAGAAGCTATCAAAGCTGCCAACTTGAAATTTCAGAAATACTATAGTGATACTGAGCATTCAAAGAGTGAGCTGCTAGCTGTAGCTGCTGCCCTCCATCCATCACATCACATGAGAGCATATGATTCAGAGGATTGGACCAGTAATGAGTGTGAAACATACCAACAATATATTTTGAGGTTTTACAAAAAGCATTATGAGAAATATGAACAGCCAAGAGAAGTAATACTTGATGTGAATGATGTATGTTTGTTATAAGTATTATTCTGATTTCTTCTCTGCTAACTTCTCTAGGATATTGAGCAAATAATTTTTGAGAGACTCCATTAAAGACAAGCAAATTTCCAAAATGAAATGGAGCAATATTTAAATAACAAGAATTTGACATTACCTCAAGCTCCAATTCTGGAACAGTAGAGGATGCTAGAGCCTGATTTTCCAACTGTTGCTTGGATGGCAAGGGACATTCTGGCTATACCTTTGACAGGAGTTGAGGTAGAACAGGTTTTCAATGTTGCTTGAAATACATGTCATTATCAACAATCACAGCTCCATGCATCTACAATCAAGAAGATCATGCTGCTTAAACATGGAGATAAGGTGCATATGCTGGATGAAGCACTCATATCACATGAGAAGTTGGCCAAGAAAGTCATCCAAGACAATCAAGATGATCAAGATACTTCAGAGATTGTACAGAAAGAGATTGCAAGCCTGCTAAATCCACTACTCAATTCAGATGAGGAACAGAAAATACATCAACATTATCAATAGATAGACTCAAGTAGCTAATAGCTTGCAATATGATCCAATTATGCAAAGAGCATTATCAAATTTCAGTACTTTTCCAAAGTTGAATAAATTGATAAAATTATGTTAGGACCATTACCAAATTTCATTACTTTTTGACAACACAAATGGGACCAGGGTTCCCAGTCCCATCCTACACTTTACTGGTCCCGTCCCATATACAATATTGAAATTCCAGTCCTATCCCATTTTGTCATGTCAGGTCCCGGGCCCATCCTACTAGCTAGATTTTGATCCCGGTCCCAATCCCATCCCAATCCCAGTTCCCACAGAACTGTCCCAATATGCTGTTAAACAACCTGGTCCCATCCCATTAAGCTGAGCTTCAACCTGATCCCGTCCTCAGGACGGGAATTGGGACAGGAATCTGGGACCAGGACAGGAAATCCCGGAACTGGATACCACTCTATCTGACTCTTCTGTAATGATTCTTGTTACTCTTAATGTCTGTTAGTTCAGAACTATATTCTTTATTTCTTTGAATTCTTTAAAGTGTGTTTTTGAATTCTGTTCTTTTTTCATCAGATCTGGTCTTTAGCTTAGTGCATCTATTCAGGTATTCTCTGTATCTTTGCAGTATCTTATTCTG